TCCAAATCAAGAAAAAAAAAAACGTGATTAAATCACACAGATTTTCAAAGATTTAGCAAAAGTTATAACCAAAATGTTTTTCATTTTCTTCAGTATTGTTTGTACCTCATTAAAACGAAATAAACAATTTGATTTTTTCCAGTGTTTCCTGTAAGAGAGACTGTAATAAAAATCTACATACTGTTATTAATTATGTTGTCAGCATTTTTAGCAGTTGTGTAAAATTAAATAAAAATTTGAAATATAAAGATATATACTTGATACATTATAAAAGTTATCAAATTCTCAAAAAGCATCTTTCATGACATTATTATGGCTCCTTCAGACTATTAATTCAACAATACTGATTATTTTTCTCAACTTAAATGGGATTGCATTTTTATTCTCAATGAAATTGAAAAGAAATACTTATTAGAATGCATAATGCCAAAAATAATTGAACTTCATAAAATTGAAGATGGACACAGACACTCATACACATGCATGCACACGCACACACACACACACACACACACAGGCGCGCGCGCGGGCGCTTAATGAAAATTACTAGATCCATGCTGATCATCAGCAAAATCAACAGACATTAATTTAACTATCAAAACCTAATACTTATAAAATTATAATAAAGCTTGCATAATTTTGACTAATTATAAAGTTCATCAATAGTGTTTAGCAGTATATTAGTAACAAACAATGGAAAACAAAAGCTATTTTATTGTATGAGCCAAAGCCAAAGGAAAATCTTCAAATAAAATTATTAATTTCTTTTCTATTATATAATAGAGTATGGAGCAGATATTATTTTCTTCAGATTAATTCATTAATTCTAGCAATCATATTTTTAGATAATGATGACAAGATATTTTTAAAAAATTAATACATTATTTTTTATCTCAATGCTTATATATATATATTCCAATTCTTGCTCACAATAGATTTGGTTATATTTTTTAAAATAATCAACTCTTTTGTATCCATTTTCATCAGCTATTTTATTTCATCACAATATTTCACACTAATTCCAAAAGGAGAATAAATGTCTTTATCAATTCTACAGGCTTTGGATTAAATCTTGCTAAATTTTAGCCAAGTACTTCACCAAAACTAATGCAAGCTGTCTAAATTTTCTACCTCAAAAGTAGAAAAATGTTGCCTGCTAATATTTATTAGTTTAAATACCATTTAATATAAAAAATTTCACAATTTTTATCATTGTCTCATTGTCTTTTCTATTAGAGAAAAAACTGATTTCTGACAGTTGAAGAGGTTCTAGCATTAATCTATAATGTTTTTGAAGAAAAACTTTAATAAATTATGATTCATAGTGGATACATTATTAGAACATATTCTATTAATTAATTAATTGCAGTTAAAATAAAAACCTCTTTTTATAGAAAACTAGCCAAATTACTCACAGCTTACTGCATGCCACACATTCTTTTTGTAAGAAACTGATGATTGATTTTAAATCATTGTTATAATTTGGAGAGAAAAATGATGCATTTCAATATTACTCAATGATCTTGCCAATGTGACCTCCATCTTCTGGCTTTCTCCTTCTATATTTTGGATAGGAGTTATTCTCTTGTCCAAATATAAATTTAATTTAAATCAAAGAGAAAGTTGGGGGTTTGTACAAAAACAGCTTGATCTGACCCCTTTGGTATGTATTTGATGCAATATTTGATTGAATGAATTGATGAGCAGATTTCAACATTGTTATGACAATTGGATTGTTGCAACAAATATGTATTATAAGGCACTACCCACTGATTGGTGATTTCTTACTCAACTTGATGTCCATATTGTGTCATTTTGATCTTGCTGACGTGACCACTTTCACCTTCTATATTTTAGATAGGAGTCATTCCCTTGTTCAAACTTAAATTTAATTTAAATCAAAAGGAAAAATACTTTCAGTGGTGGACCCCCTTTGATCAAAATGATCTTGCTGATGTGACCTCCATCTTCTGGCTTTCTCCTTCTATATTTTGAATAGGAGTCATCCACTTGTTCAAATTTAAATTTCATTTAAATCAAAGGCAGAAAATTTTCCTGTGGGTATGGTGCCCCACACAGATTACCTTTAATCAAAATGAAGTATACTTACCCTAGGAGTCATTTCCTTGTTCAAATTAAAGTTTAATTTATATCAAAGGGAAACAAATTTTCAGTGATAGGTTTGTACCCCTCCCCCTTGATCAAGATGAATTATACTAATCCAAGTACTCTGGGTAATGTAGATTCAAAATATATATGGTCATGGGGTTTTAACTCCAAAACCCTAGGTGGATTTCTATGAATTGGTGAGACGATTTCAACATTGATATGACAGTTGAATTGTGTATCTCAAAAACCCTAGGAGGAGTTCAATAAAAACAGACAGAGGCTACAACTTTATATATATATATATATATATATATATATATATATATATATATATATTTATTGATAAGAATCACTATCCCTACTGAATGAAGACCAACCTAAAAAATAAAATTTAACTAATTTATAATTTACAGAGAAAAATAAAATTTACACTGCATTTAAAACATGAAATTATTAATCTGTAAAGTTTCAGCTATTAAACATGTTTAGTTATTAAGCTATTAGAAAATTTATAGCCTTTAAGTAAGACACTTTAAAATAAAACTAAGCATTTTTCAGTTTTATATTTGAACACATTTTTTGTCAACTACAATGTCCATACACCTGGTATAAATAAAGGACAAGTAGTCAGTCCAAATGCAGTTTGGTACAGTAGTTAGAGGAATCATTAAGATATCTTCCTGTATCTAGTCTATTTTTTGTCATCTGAAAATTGTCTTTATAAGAAGACAATTTCATATGACAAGAAATAGACTGAACAAAAAAAAAGAAACAATTTTTGTAAATCACTTCAACTATTTCTGGAATATAAAAATTTTTGTATTTATACTTTATCGGCTTTCTTTTTCCCTCCTTTTTTCATTATGGATGAGTTGAATATCTTTACAAAGCTAAATTTTCACCCCACTCAAACTTCTAGAAATCCAAATTACTTTCAAACAAAAGTAATTTCTCTGGATGCTGATGATCCTTTGGATTAACATTTTATTTATTAAATATGCTTTACATCAATATCATAAAACCAAATGTAGTTTTTAAAATTTATGCACTTAATGAAAGCTCCAAATTTACATTGTATAATTTCACAACCAGTAAATAATTTCTCAAATAAAATGTAACTTTTATTCATATTAAGACCTTTTTGTACCTATCTATACAATGAAATTTAATGATTAAGATTAGACAAAATAGAAAAAATACATTAAATTTTATGATGAATATTTCTTTATCTACAGTTGCTATATAATCAATATGTTTATGCACCTCAATGACCAGTTTCACAAATACAGGACTGTGAACTGACAATTGGGTTTCTATTTATGTTTAAATCAGTTGTTTGAGATTAGAAGGTGGTAAAAATTCTTTAAAAAAATTTAAAACATAAATAAGATTTCTTGATTTTTTGCCATTGAAGCAGACCATCAAGTTAATCCATGATGGTATTTACAATTTATAAGTTGAGAAGAAACTAAAGAATATATAAATACATATCACACAAATGTAAGATATATCTTATATTCAATAAAACAAATACCTTTTATCTTTTATGTGACACTGTTATTACTAAAGACATGAAAATAATACAAATCTTTTTATATAGAATCTTTTAAACTGTATTTATTTATCAAGAAAGTTCAACTTTTGTAATATATAAAAGATTGATAAAAATTTCATATTTTATTTTATATAACATATTAAATAGACTGGAATTTTATATATTTAGTTAGTATTTAAATTATTAGGAGCCTCTTAAATAAAAGATTTTTAATTTTTCGGAAGTATCATTGTTGGCAAGTTTTTTGACAAGAAAATTGTTCCTACAGCTTCATTTCATAATATTATTAATGAATTGAACATGGCCATTAAGGGTTGTACTCACAGCTTAATTAAGGTTTTATGAAAATCAAAACAAACAATAAGATTGTGTCCATCTTGAATTGAAAAGAAGAGACAGAAGAGAAAGTGAGTTAAAGATGCAAGCGCCAGGGATTTTCATGTCTTTCTATCTGCTTAGTTAAGGCTATTATTGACTAAACAACAGCAACCTAATAGCATTTTTAACTTTTAGAAGAACCATGCACAAAAATGGAACAAAAAATGATATTCATAAGATGATAGAGTAAGAAAAAGTCAAAATGTCTAAGTTGCAAATGAAGAAATGCATATTAATGATAAGAAGAGGAAAAAGAAAGATAAAACTAAGAATTCAAAATGTGAAGAAGCTGAAAAAGAATAATGGTGTAATGGTTAGAATAAGAAAACCAAAAAGAATAATGGTGTAATGGTTAGAATAAGAAAACCAAAAAGAATAATGGTGTAATGGTTAGAATAAGAAAACCAAAAAGAGTAATGGTGTAATGGTTAGAATAAGAAAACCAAAAAGAATAATGGTGTAATGGTTAGAATAAGAAATCCAAAAAGAATATGTAAATAATAAAGAAATGCAAAAAAAGAAAGAAGAGAAAGAGAAAAATATGATGAAGAAAGAGTAATAAATTAAAAAATAAACAATACAACAGAATAAGAAGATAAGCAGGAAGAATTTAAGAATTAAAACGTGAAAAAAATAAATTAATCAAAACGTGAAAATTTAAGAAAAGAGGAAAAACAATAAAAGTTAAATAAAGTGATGGTCTTGTTCAATTACTGACAAAAAGAAAAATGTGCCTCCAAAGAAAAATAATTTGATATTAACAAACAAAAAGGCAAATAAAAGAAAACATATGAAGCATCCATTCTGTGGCTTCAACAGCTGTTATTCTTGGCATTTCAGAATCCAATACAAGAATGTTGAATATTTGAATGGCAAAACAGATATAGAGGCTCTCAGAGGTAGCAGAAGAAAGACTGCGACAAAAATAATGAACACACTGAAATATTTATAACATTCCATGAGTTTTAAAATAAAAAGGATTTCATTTTATTATTGTTATTTGCATTCTTGTTCACTTTTTTCTTCACTGTCTTCTCTTCTACTTTTTCTTTTTTTCCTTTTTTTTCTGTTCTTTCTCTATTTTTTCTTTCTTGTTCATTCTTCATTATCTTCTTTAAGTTATTGCCCTTAAATAGAAATTCTCATACATGACTAAGAGGACATATTTGGGTGAAACTGTAAGATTTTTTGTTTCATAGTTGTCTCAATATAAGCATATTCAAATAGCACTAGAGGCAAAAATATAATGGTCTTATAAAAAAAATGAAATGACATGTACTTGTTAGTGGGTATGTATGTATGTGTTTGTATGTATGTATGTGGTGTATACTGTAGTGTAAGGGTTAGCAAGCTGAAATGTAGTCAGATTCACAATGGTGTGGCTTTATGACAGCTTAGTAAATAACTATATAGATGCAATGTTGACATGAGTGTGTGTCTATTCATGTATACATTTGGGTGTATATGTTTGTGTTTGTTTTTTGCCTAAACCACTTCTCTCATTAGTTATAAACTAACAGTTGTATAACTAAAACAATTTTGGATAGTTTATGTAAAACTTCAAAAGTCTTCCATGAAAAATAATTTGTCTGGGAGCATTCACAATTTCTGATCAATTCTGTTCCTTGCCAATTAAAAGAAGTATGGATAATCTTTATTATCATTTTAAAATTATGGCAATAGTTAAATATTGATATTCCATGGATATTTTATTTCCCTCTTGAGGCCAGTGTACTGATGATGCTGATGAAATAAGTATTCATAGTTAGGTTAAGAATGATCTTGAACAGAAAATCAACATCCTTTACAAAGTGTTCCAAAAATAGAATTCAAAATAAACCTTTCCAGAAAAGAAAATATAATCTGGAACTGGAATAATAGCAGTGATCATATGTATCCTGAATCCATCAAAAAAATTTAGGATATGCAATTAGTAAATACTAAACATTTCAAATACCTTTGTGAATGAAACAGTTATGACAAATTTATCATAAAAGATAAGGAAATTGAACACAGGGTAGGTTGTGCTAGGGGTAGTTTCATCCAACATCACAAGTTGATACAAAACAAAACATTAACCTAAGAACTTGCCATGTTCTTAAATAGCCTCATCAGATCAAAACTTTCATATGAATGTCATTCATGGTAGCAAACTCATTCAGAAATATAACCACTTTCTCAGATCAATGGTTAAAAGTGACTTTAAGCAAATGATACCTGTAGATCTTAGTGGGGACCATCCTTCTTTGAAACTCATGGACTGATGCTACAGAATCCTAAACAAAGAACTGTACTAAATAACGACTACAATGGATAGCACATGTAACTTGAAGAGAAAATAATGACAAAATCAAAATGTTGACATTCCACACTACTTTAGGAAGAAACCCCTTCAATACTGTAAAGAGTTATAATAGTGGACTTGAGAAATCTATTTTCCTGAAAAATTATTTTAAGAGAAAGATTTTATAAATTTCAACTGAAAGTGGCACTGGCTGCTCACTCAATAAATGCCAAATGTTTCTTTATAAGGAAATGGTTAATATTACCATTAACATTAGCCTGGAGATAGCAGACAACAAATACATATTTGAGAAATGTAACACACATATATTTATTATAAGTATTTAGTAAGTGTTAACTTAGTCTAACACAAGGTCACAAGTCTAAGGCATTCAGTTAGGAACAAACTTGCTAACCATTACTTCATGGCTGAGCACCTACACACTTTATGCATATATTATATGCATGCAGTGATACAACTTACAATTAATTAAACTCTGTAGATACCTTAATTGAGTTCTGGACAGTAATACAAAAACACACAATAGAATTCATAGTAGTAAAACCTCATATACCTTGAATATAAACCAAACCGTCTACTGACATGCCATCAACACCTGCCTCTGTGATCATTATTATTAGCATAATAACATAGGAGGTAGTACTTTTGGAGCAACCTTTGTATTCCAAAATGACAAACAATAAAAATTAGTAATAATCATGATCTGATAACTTACATCCCCTATTATTATTATTCTGACCAAGAAAACAATTTACACCTTACTAATGCCCTTTATGTACTTGGGTGTGCATGTGTAGTGATATGACTAGATATTTTTCTAAGCATTTGAGTTTAAATACTTTCAATTGAATTCCAATTCAGAACTTCAGAAAAATAAATGCTGAAAAAATCTGGAATAAAGGAATAATCTAGAATTACAATTATGCAGTCCAATTTTATCTGAAATAAAAATGTCTGTTACATAACTTTGAAGAAATGAGAATTCATTGTCAGCAGTATTTATTGCATTTCTGTTCACTAAATATGAAATGCAAAATATTTGTCCTTTCTCTTTAATTTAATTAATATTAGCAATTATATTATTTTACTATTTTTCATTAAAATTAGTTAATTAATAATAAATAGTATATATTTTTATTTATCTTCCAATTACTTTTTTTTTACTTTTTATGACCTTATGCTAAATTTCCAGAAGTTTTCAGAGTTCATATTAATAAAATGAGTGGCTTTGATGCAATAACCTTGTCAATGAAATTTTGATCAGAGATTTTTAAAAAATTTTAACCAGATAAGGAATGCTACATTAATTGAATTCAATGATAATCTAATATCACCAAGTCTGGTGAATATGCCAAGTGAGCAAGAATAATATCCTTTATGGTTTTTGGGATTAATGAAGCAATGAATAGAAAAGAGTTATTGTGCAGTTGTATAAATTTCTAGTTTCCCTGTTCTGTAAATAGCCTTTTTATAGCCTTTTTTCTTCAATTACAACAATTAAAAGTTTGACTGTAATACTCTTTAGTAACAGTTTCACAAGGTTTCTACAATTTATAATATATATACCTTATATCTCACCAAATACAGAACATATATACCTTATATCTCACCAAATACAGAACAATTAATTTTTCCCAAAAAGGTAAAGCTTTTCCATTGATATTGTAAGCTGTAAACATGGTTTTCAATGATTCAGGTTATCATAGTGGATCCACTTTTACACGCTAGCAAAAATTTCCAAAACAAACTTTTTCATGTCTATCAAGAAGTGAAATGCACATGGTGAGATTCTATCCAACACTTAACTCTGACAATTCATGTGAATCACATTTTCCTGCTTTTTGAATCTTTCTATTACTTTGAAAATGTCATCAAATTGTTAAGTGAGCATTATCAAGTTTTTCAGCCAATTCCAATGTTGACTGAGTGGGGTATCATCCAAAAATGCTTGCATGTCATCATTCCCAAATTCTTGTGGTTCTCAAAATATGGCTCAAATGCCCTTGAATCCATCTTTTCTTACAGCTCCCCAGCTATGTGTTAAATAGTACGATAGACTGAGCTCTCTAGCCTTTAGTGGCAACCAGTCTGTAGAGAAGGCAATGAAAAACCACTCCACTATCTTTCTCATGAAGTCTTTGTAATTTACAGATAATAAGCAAAGGAATCTATGGTGAGCCATAATTGTTTATGCACTGAAGGAATGTAAAATTAAAAGAAAAAAACATTTTTAATGGATAACACTTTTATGATTAAAATTGAAAGCAAATCAACAGCAATTGCTCAATGTTTTCATACTATATTTCATTTGTGTTAAAGAAGTTTAAAATCTTTGTTAAATGAAAATATTTATTATGGCTGTTAATCAAACATGCAAAACAGACATGTCAGTAAGTGTAAGAAAGATATACTAAAGTATAAATCTATTTGTTTAAATGTTACAGCATCAAAAGTCACCAGATTATTTTATTGCTTAGTAGTAATTAAAGGGCATTATTCCAAATGTTTTTTGAATTGAGTGAAGATGTACATTACTGGTAAAAAAAAAAAATAATAGAAAGCCAATGGACATAAAGACCTACAGAAAGAATTAAAATTGTTCACATTTTTATAGAAATTTATAAAAATACAGATTAAATCTTGTCAAAAATTGTGTTGTCAAATTTAATTTTACTTTTTATTACATTATAATTCTGATATTTTCTGATATATTTTTATTGCATTATAATTCTGATATTTGTGTAGATTTAAAAAAAAAAAAAAACTTTTTTATCAACATTGTTTTTTATTCTTATAACTCAATAGGAATGAAAATAGACATTATGTTTGAATAAATTTTCATTGAATCATTAAAAACTATAGCTTTCAATGAACCCCAAATTTCTCAATGTCAATTTTGTTGCAGAAGCAGCAGTAGCAGCAATGATGTGTGGATTAGCAACCAATGATTTCCAGATGACCAACCAAGCAGCAAGTAACATCTATATATAGCTGCTGGACATCTTATTTGTGGTCAATCTCAGCACTCACCCAGTGGAAGAAAAACAAATACTGATTCAAAATTGATCAAATAATAGCTCTTATACTCTCTGACATTTTGGTCTGACATTAAAGGAAATGTGTTGTTCCTTTCACTTACAAGCCGCATGTTTAATTTACAAAGTAAAATGCCCAGAAGAGCGACAGTCTTTCCTGGTTATTTCCTGACGTTCAGTTACTGCTGTGCTGTTTGCAATCACAAAATGTCACTGCTCATGAAGACTCGGGACAGTGGCACAACCGACCCCTCATGGCCGCTGCTTGTCACCATTTTAGTGTTAAGAAAAAAGTATAAATCTGTATTCATTTTATTTAACTGTAACTGGCCTTCTAGCTCCCTTCTGATGAGACAACTCTGTTACTTTTGTTCAGATAACAACTATATTCTGTCTGCATCTGGGGTCAGTCAGATGTGACTGAGTTAGCCGGCACTAAATAGTCATTTCAACCTTGTTCCTTCCTTCTCTTTCCTTCCCTTTCTCTCCCCTACCCCATCATCGTATAAAACTTAAAACTTGCATAGGTAGGGTTCAGATTTTTAAGACTTTCTCTTTTTCTATTGTCCGATCATCCCCAACTTCAACCTCCATCATCATAGCTATACCCCTTCCACCCATTCCTCATGAATGTCATTGCCGTCATTGCAAAATTCCATCTTGTCCCCACACTTCTTTTAGCTTTTTTATGTTTAGCTTTTTTTAGTGCTTGTTTTTTTTACAACCACAACACCCTTTCCTACCCCCACTAAACTGCTTCATCTCTTTGTCATTAGCTTTCACCTCCTCCCTTTTTTCCTCCATTTGTTTTATTCTTTTCCTTTCCTTTTCTTTTGCACCTCACTCTTTGATGCAATTTCTCCTTTCTCATACTCTACTTCTCATCCTTTCTCTCTGTCAGTTTCTCACCCCAACCTCTCTCTTTTCTTATAAAATTCTTTCTGTTTCATATCATCTTTTCATGTTTTTTCTTTTTTCACTATTCATTTTCTCCACTCTCTTTCTCTTATATTCCTCTCTCTATATATGTATATGTATATATATATATATATATATATATATTGTATATATATATATATATATATATATATATATATATATATATATATATATATATATATATATAAACTGCTATTCTATTATGGCTCACTTTCTTAAGCCATACTGTATATTTTCTTTACTATTTTCCTTTTCATTCCCTTTAATTTATTCCTCCAACATTACTTTCTTTACATTTATTTCCTCTTATTTTTTCTTTCTTTTGTTCAATCCTCATGTTCTTTCTGCATCTTTTTCTTCATTTTTTATTTTTATCTCCTTCCCATGCTTTTTCTCATTCAACTTTCCACTTACACCTTTTACCTTATACATTATTCTCTCTATTTTTCTTTATTTCTCCAAATCTTGCATGTTTTCTATCCCCTCTTTTTTTCTTTTTCTTCCCATTTAATGCTTTCTTCTTTTGCTTCTTTTTCCCAATCTTTACTTAATTTCCCCTGAATTTTCATCCACGCTTTCCTTTCCCCTTGAGTGCTGATCAGATTAAGGCAAGAAGACAACAGAAACAACGTTGGTAAATGACCTATTAAACGAGGCACTGCTTGATTATAGTCTGTAGTAATCAATCTGTACACTCACCACCACTCCAGCCTTCTATTTATCCACATCCCCACCATCTTCCCATATTCACCCTCCCTCATCCACAGGCAAAGAGTTACCCCTATCCATTCTCTTCCTCTCCAGTTCCCTTCTTTCCCCTAGAGATTTGTGCATTGCAAAGAGTTTGGAACAGAAAAGAGCCAAAACAGAAGCTCCTTGGATGCCAGTGATGGGCCCTTTTCTCCCCCAATAACTTGCTGGGGCCCAGTAGGACTGCAATGATGACAAGAGATGGAGAGTGGAGACAAATGCCTTGGAGGTTGGATCTCATTTTGGTTTTGGTTTAGCTTGGCTCTTTACTTTGAAACAACAGCAAGGGTCCCTACAGTCGCCATCACTACCACATAATGGACACACACAACGCATAAACACACACACATATACATTAATTGCAAACATACAATTATATGAGAATATATGTGAAGGGGTGCTGAAAAGTTTCAGGCTCTACCAAGAAGAGCTTAAAAACATAAATTGTGATGTTTGGTTATTTGGTCAGATTTTCTAAACTAGGTTAGACCAAGAACTTTTCAGTATAACTCATATGTCTAGATATAAAATATAGATATTTTCAGTATAATTCATATGTCTAGATATAAAAGTATAGAAGAAACAAATCTGGCACTTGGATGCTTTTTTTCTGTGAAATTTGAAATTCAGTTGTATAGCTTGGATTGACTTTTCTAGATATGTGTATGACTTAAGAATTTTTCAGTGAAAAGGTATATGAGCAATACTCATATCTTAAATTCATCTGCTTTTTTTATTTTCCTTTAAAAAATGTCTAAAACTCAAATACTCATGTAAGCATGTATGGCTTACTAAATGGAAGGCATATTTACTGTTTTACTCTATTTCACTTAAGAGGAAGAAAATACTTGAATTCTATACAAATGGGTAAAATTTTTAACTGTTGATATTTATATGTAAACATTGGCATAGACAAATAAATAAGTGATACATACATAAGTTAAGTTCTTGGAATTATGCTGTACTTAATTTCTTTCCATAATAAACTGTGATATTCCCTTCAGATATCAATATTTTCAATAAGGATAGATAATACAAGCTGAAACTCACAGAATATGTTGCTTACAAAGATATAAATATATCCTGTAAATTTTACATCAGTTGACCAGTAGCTATTATTACTATATAGCAAATTGTAAAAACATTAACTTTCATAATAAAATCTGACATAGTGTAAATCCTATACCATCATCTGTTTAGTAGTGTCATAAATTAATTTCTTAAATATTTCTTAACTTTTATGATCAATTAGAAAGTAGAAATAGCATCATTAGTGCAAAATCTTTCAACATTTCAGCAAAATGTATTGTAGACAGACAAATTTGAACTTTTTGGTAATAAGAAGAGCCTGGAGAAAAAGTAAAAAATAAAATCAAATACACTGTAGTTAGTAACATTTTATCTTTTACTTTTAGAAATACAAAAATATATCATTTTAAGGTGTTTTTTAAAGAAATGTAGGGCGACCCTAAACATTTTACCTGTAGTATATGTGCTTTAGGATATGTATATATCTATTTAATAAAATAAATTTTTATCCTGATATAATAGTTTTATCTGTAAATAATTAACAAATGCTATAAAGCATACAAATAGATATAATAAATTAGCAAAATGTCCCATATATCTCAATAGATATTTTATTATTTGTCAGTGGGTTCAATTTAACATTCTGTAACATTCATGTCTTTAAACTATTGATTTTATTAACTTTTTCACTGTTTCAGTTTTAAACAAATTTATTTGCAACAGTTTTTATTGCTACTCAGACATCTACTTTGCTTGAATATTGTTTTCCGTTCTTATATACATCTCTTTTAATTATAGACAACAGTTTTACTAGTGCATTAAGATCTGAAACTTAAGGGTTATTCCATTAATTTGGAACCTTCGAGACATTGTTTTGGCAAGGTGGACAATAGTTAGGTTTTCAGAATGTGACAAAGCATTATCTTTGTATAAATATATTTTTTAGCTTAATGCTTCTTGGTTGTAACCTGCACCACTCAAAAAGCATCTTGGCCAAGAACTTATTCTTTGCATTAATCTTGAAACTATCAGCATCAATTTTGAAGGGACCTCTAATTTTACTCTATAATAATAACCCAAAACATTACCCACCTCCAGCAGTTGTCTTTTTAGTTGTGTTGGTTGACTATTTCCATAATGGTCCCAACCAGCAACCAGGTCAGTCCATTGCAGCTATACATTCATTACTAAAAATTACTGTTGAGAAATCAATTTTTATGTATTATTTCATTGAATTCTCATGTTTCTTTTTGTTTACTGGTGGTATTTTGGTTAGTTCCATGTCTTTAGCTAGTGTTCTTAATATTCTGCATCTTTTCTCTCTGTTTACATTAATAATAACAGATTCCTTAAATACTTTCTTGCTGGTTAATCCACTTTTGTTTTTTATTACCCTTTTAATTTTCCTCAAATCTCTTTTTGTGACATTCTTAAAGCAAAAAGCCATGTTTTATCTTGTTCTTAACTTGCCAATGTTTGCAATTTCTTTTTTGTTCCATGATCTCTTTTCAACATTTTTTAAATTTTCATTATATATATATGTGTGTGCGTGTGTGTGTGTGTGTTTGTGTGTGCGTATGTATATATATATATATATATATATATATATATATATTGCTAATTTGGAAGACTGTTTTAAAGTGAAAATTGCTGGTTTTTCAGTGATAAATGCATGTAAGGCAAACAAGCTTTGTGGTAGCACAATATTGAAGGTAGTGATAGAGCATTAATAAAATTAATGAAAAAGTTTTTTCACTTAACTCATGTTTAGTTGAAAGTTTTGTGGTTACATAGATGCAATCACTCTTCAGAACAAACTGCTATTTACTTGATTTCTTTGTACTGTTATTATGGTATGAGTGTGTTACTTTCCTTTTCACTTGATTGTATTGATTGGTTGTTGATTTTCATTTCCTCTCTCTTTCTTTTTCTTCTATTTTTATTTTTTTTATTCTTTCATTTTTTCTTCACCTTCTCTGTTGATCTCTGGTTTATTGCTATTGTGTTATAGTTGGATTTTTGTGTGTGTAGGTGTGTTTGTGCAGGTGTGTGTTTATGTGTATGTCTATGCCTGTGCACAAATGTGTGTATACATAAATACATGTACACATCCACCTGCATATGTTTGTTTGTTTATTTGTGTATGCACGTCTAATTGTGTTTGTGCTTGTGCGTGTATTTGTGTTAACTGTATATGTCTCTGTTGATTTTATTTTTTCATTGTTTTGACCATTTATTTTAGGTTATGATTGAACTTTTGTGTGTGTATGTATTTTTGTGTGGCTCTGTGTTTATGTGTGTATGTATTTTTGTGCGAGTGTGCATTTATGTGTGTATCTCTGTGCATGTGCCTGTCTGCATGTATATATACATACAAACATGTATGCACTCACCTGTGTATGTTTGTGTGTTGTGTGTGTGCATCTAATTGTGAGTTTGTGTGCATTTATGTGAGTGTACATTCACATACACAGATGTGTTCTCGTTTTTTTTATTTATTTTTCTATTTTCACTTTTTTTGTATTTAGTGTGTGTGCTTTTGCATTTTGTAAAGAATGTAGTTGTGGTAAATTTTGTTGGTTATTATTTGTTGATATTGTGGTTACTCTTTTCTGGGTGGATTGTGTTTGCAATTGGTATGGCTGAGATGTTAGGTATGATTGTGTTTGAGATGGGATTGTGTTTTTTGTTGTATTTCTCTCTTTTTTTTATGTTAGTATTTAGGTTACAAAGTATATGTTTGTTTAAATGTCTGCATTTACCCATTATTTCATTCTTCTTGTTCAATAAGTTGTTTTGATTTTTAAATTTAATGTTTACTAGTTTTTTCTCTAGGCACAATTTACAGTTTCTGCTGTTGTTATTTTGTGTATATTAACCCTTCAGTTGAATAATAAATTATCGCACCACCAAACTGTATTATTGTATATATTTGTAACTATTTCTAATAAAACCAGATACTAAAATCTGTAACTCACATGGTATAATAATCATGCAAATATATCCTGAAAAGTTTACCAACATTGGTTGGTTAATACTAATTCCTACTTATATGCCATTGATACACAAACAGCTTAGATTCTTACAGTACCAGGGGTCAAAATTGATATTAAACTTTGGTGACATTATTTTTATTCTATTTGGATATACTCAAGAAAGGCATGAACTGTACATTTTTCTACACTTTTTCATTGCTAATCATTCTGATCTTATCTTATCACTGGCAGAGTTCACTGAAACATTGCAACAAAGAATAGAGTGATACTGCATAAATGCTCAATCCATAAAACCAATATCTGTGTCATGGAAGATTAATGTCATGAAATTAAGTGACTGTAGAATATGATTGTTGTAGGCTTGGGGTATATGAATGCTTATATCAATAGTTATCATCATCTTTGTTTATATAGGACAATATTAGTCTTCATTGCTGTATGATATATGTTCGCACATTTATGTCTACATACTTGTGTAGATAACTTCATTTTGTGTGCTACAATCAAGATGCAAACATGCATTTATGTTTATCATATATGTACAAGAATTTGTTTGTTGGCAAATAGAAACATAATAATTACATTAAGCATAATTATATTAAATAAGCTTACAGTAAAGTTTTAGTTTTTAATAAGGTACTTTGGTCATCTGTTGCATATGGCACTTGGGTCAATGGTTGTATATATACAGGGAATTGTATGAATTAGTTAATACTTACCAAATAAAAAAGTTCAATCACTTAACAAAATACACTTGTGTATTTGCAAAATCAGCAGTGAACCTGT